GGTCAAAGACTGACAAAAAGCCTTGTAACTTAGAAACTATGAGCCTTACAAGTGAGGTGTGTACTGGCAGCATATAGAAAGGACCACGTAAAGATTTAGATATGTTAGAATGATCTGCAGGTTGACGTGATAAAGCCTTATAGAGCCAATTAAATCTGTGTTTCTTACTGCCATTGTTTGTGTTGACAATATATAATATTCTTAATATCACGCCACCGTGGACCCATAAAATAAACGATCAAGTGTAAATAAAGTGAAATGAGCGTTCAGGCGCGGCCGTCATGGATAACTTGTTTTTATTTGTACGTCCAATGAGTGTTAACAAACCCAACACAGAGGTTAGCATCCAGGTCTACAGCAGGGGGCGCTCAAACACACTAAAGCTCTGAGAACATCGGACAGGAAGGAAACCAGCAAACATCTTCACATCTGTACAAATGTACACTCAGTCTGTCCGTCCGTCCGCCAGCAGGTCACAGTTTGAATCCGAGGGCGTCGATGGAGATCCGGCTTCAGGTGGCGTGTTTTCTTCACCTCTCTATGATTCAAAGTGAAACTTACACAAACGTTATTACTCTCTGCACTAGTAAGCAAGCTGTTGAGCAGATTCAAGGTTAAAGTTAAACTGGGGTTAAAATGTGCTTTCAAGACTAAACTCACAGTGTGTCATCACTCAAACAAACTCGTCAGTAAGAAAACATGAAGCCAAAGTCCAACGTCACCTCAGACACATTCACTGGGCTTGTAGGAACAAAGTAATATAAAACAGCGCCACCAGCTGGCTGCAGGGGAACATTCACAGAGGGAGAGATACGCTTTACAAAGCAGTGCAAATCAGAGTCTCGGTGTGATGGAGGAGAGGGAAATGTACAAAATGAGACCAGCGCAGTGAAGCAGAGGAGCGCTGCCGTGGTCGCCGAGCATGTTTCACATCCCATCGTTAGCATTGGCGTTCAGTGCCAGGATGACCATATTTAGACGAGAAGGTGGAGCCTAATCAGCAGAAATAAAGACTGGATACAGAAGACGAACATAAGTTCAGAGTCTGAAAAGTGAACCCAATGTGGAAGCAGTTCCCTCTACTGACCAGCAGGGGGCAGCTGAAGTCTGAAAGAACTGAGGAAATGAAATCCTACTTGTTATCACCTTTATGATGAATTTATCATTTCACCTGACAGTTTAGGTCTTTATGAACACAGCATGATGTCATTTTTTTATGAGAGTTAAAAAGCAGGAGTGTTCAGTTCCCTCGATTTCACAGGGACCAAAAGCTGATGTCACGGTAACCTACATCCAACTTTTATGTCCAAGATGGAAGATGGAAGTCTGACCTTTGGAGTGGACGTCTGCCATCAGAGCTTTTAAAGACCTCAATAAATCAACAATGACTGTGTCAAAACGCTGATTCAGTCTTTTATAAACAAGCCTTAATTAGTTTTGAATGCGTGTACTGAACAGCCCTTACACACATTACTTGGTGGACTTTCGTCACATGACAGTAAAGTGCTTTTCTGTGGACTGTTGGATTTCAGGATATTCAGCGTTTTCCAGCAAGAGTCGTGAGCAACAAAAGCTACAGCTGATGTTTCTGTTTACTTTTAGCATCAAAGAGGTAGTCGAACTATAAAGACTTTTTGTACTTTCAGCTGAATTCTATTCATTAACTGCTGTATGCTGCAGATTTCATTGCTTTTTAATGTCCTTTCAGGTTTTCAGACTTTATTTTGGTTGTTTTCTTTTCTGAATCGTCCCCCAGCTGCCTGAACAGTGTTTAGAGGAGCTGCAGGTTTTAGCACTTCCACATTAGTTTCAGTTTTAAGCCCTGAAGTTCTTATTTACCTCCCATCATTTAAAGCAAGTGTTATCATCATCGTAACCACAGCACTCCTGTGGTAAACTAGCTTCTCTTTTAGTTTTAGTTCTGAAGATAGAACAGCTGAAACATCATCGGGCACCACAGCCGCCCTCTGCGTCACTCGCAGTCTAAATTAGAGGAATGCATTCATGTTACAAACAAGTATTTTACATAATCTTTCAGTCTTCAAGAGCAGGAGCTGATTTCAAACGATCTAGGGTCAGTCGGGAGGTTCTGACAGTCCTGAATCCCCGTTGAAACGAGGCCGAGTGCACTTCCTCCGGGGTCGGGCGCGGTCGTACGATCTGCTGCAGGAGCGGCGGGTGAAAATGATCTGCAGGCAGAAGCACGCTGCTGTCTGACAACAGCAACTATCCTGCACATGGAACCTCGACTGAGCGTCGCAGCGATTCTTTGCAGCAGTGTTTGGTCCTCCAGAGGAGTAATCGTTACTTGGATATATTCAGCGTTTCAGTTTATATGCAGTATTTTCATCATATTTTCTATCAGAGCTGAAATTTCTTCCTGCCGTGGTGATGTCACAGATCTCAACTCTTCATTTGGAGTGAATTTTTTTTTATTTTCAGACGGACATGCAATGAACTGCATGGCAACAACAGCAAGAGGGGGAGCTTTTTCTTTTTTCTCACATTTCTTTTTTTCTTTTAATCATATTTGAGCATTCCTTCCCCCGTCGACACACATCGACAGCCAGAGGAGACACGAGAACAGTCTTAGAGATGGACGTCATGGTTTGTTTGGCTGTAAAGAGCTGCAGGATTCTTCTTATACTTGCAGATGTAGTTGTGGTAGAGAGATAATAGAGGGAGAGAGTTTACCTATGATCACAACAGTGTGACTGTGTTGTTTTATGTATGTGTGTGTCTGTGTGTGTGTGTGTGTATGTGCTGTACACTGAGTCTTTATTTCCCAGTGGCTTCACTGGTGGAGTCCCAGCCAGTGGGTGGTGTCGGCTGGTTTCGGGCGGTGCTCCTCCCTCAGTACTCGCTCAGGTTGTGCCATTTGGAGATCTGCCGGCGGGGGTTTTCGCACACGTCCCTCCAGTGGGAGGCTCCAGAGGGGGAGGGGCTGTGGAGGCCGAGCAGGAGGCGACCCAGGACCTCGTTCTTGGTGGTCCGGTCGAAGTCGACCACCAGGAACTCCACGGAGATCTCGGGCAGAAGCTCGGGCGGGATGTCGTAGATGAAGGACTCATTGAAGACCGGGTTTAGCGTGCACTTCTTCACGTGGGTCTTCTTCTTGGCGATGCGCTTACGGCCGTAGAAGACGTTCACCTTCACATAGGGGTCTGAGGACAGAAGGAGAACGTCTAAGATACAGCTTCGATGTTTGACAAATATCCTCTTATATCAATATAAGAACAAACAACAATTGCACAGCAGCTCTATAGGATGTTGTTTATCAGGGTGTTTGGATAGTTTATGAATAAATCAGAGGGGAGGTGCTTTAGGCCGACTCGCTCCATGCTGCATGTTCCAACCAGAACATTGACTGTGCCTCAAAAAACAGAAAAATATCTTCTAAGCAGGTCAGACTGAGCGCTGAGCGTCTTCCTGTCCTGCTTTCTACTCACTGGCTGACAGGCCGGTGATGTCCATCTTGGGGAGGTGTCGAGCCTTCAGGACGACCACGCTGAGGCGATGAGACACCGGCTGGTAGGACAGAGACGCCAGCAGCTCTCCACGACTCTCGCACTAAAATACACAACAGGTGGAACAAAGTTAGCGTTGTACACGTGCGACTGTATCATCATCATCACAGAAGCTCCTCCACGTTCTCGTTTTCAGGTTTACGGTGTTTTCTCCACTGCTCGCATGTTTGACAATCCAACATTAATCTGATAAGAGACGGAACAACAGCGAGGCTGTCACTGACACAGACCGAGCAGCTGGCTGCCATGGTAACGCAGCGAGCAGACAACAGGGTCAGTTAGTCACGTATGTAAAGTGCCAGGACCACTGCTGTCACTCACGAGTGCCTCATGTGACTTCTAACTCTGTCATTTAGGATGGAAACAACCAAAAACAGACGAACTGTGAACATGATTTTATATTTTTTAGAAACTGAAACTGAGAAAAATGGGCGGGACATCACGTCACTATTATGTTGCTGTTTCCTGCTGCATGAGAGTCACTAACTGTGACTTCAGCTGTATAAAAATACAGTATCAGAAACGTCTTGATGCATCTCAATCATCCAGGAAAGTAAATGGCCTGTATTTGTATAACGCTTTACTAGTGCCTAAGGACTCCAAAGCGCTTTACACATCCACACATTCACACACACGTAGCGTTTTCAATGGGAGAAACGTTTCGTCACTCATCCAGGTGACGTCTTCAGTCTCAGCTGACAGCTGGATGAGTGACGAAACGTTTCTCTGAAAACATCCAGATGAACAGACTCAACTTTTGGAGATTACATCAGAAACATATTTATGAGGTCACCTTATCAGTGCTGATCTGGGATCAGACTAGAAGTCTGTTCCATGACTGTTTCAAATATAACTATTATTATCCAATACAATTTTATTTATAAAGCACTTTAAAATACCCAGCACAGGAACAAAGTGTTGTACAGAAAATAAGTTAAAACAATAGAATAACAGAAAACAGCAAAATAAATAAATAAAACACATAAAACATAAAATTAAAACAACCCAATATTAAAACAAAAACAAGATAAAACAGCATCGAATCACCTAAAAACAACTAAAATAAAAAAAATTTAAAAACCAACATCTGACGTGGTGTCAGAGGTCAGGGTAAAAGCCTCGCTCACCTGCATGTTCCTCTTGGTGATCTGCTGGCTCAGGTGGACTCGGCCCGTGCTCGGGTCCACGCCCTTCAGCGGCACCACTGCCTCCCCGATGACGTCATCGCGGGCAAAGCGGTCAAAGCTGAGGACCAGGAAGTGCAGGGTGAGCTCAGGCAGCGAGCTGTAGGCCACGCCGTAGAAAGTGAAGGTCTCATCAAACAGCGGGTCCAGGGTCTTCCTCAGGACGCGGGTCTTGACGCGGTGCTTCTTCTCGGGGAGGATGGTCATCTTCACGTAGGGGTCTGAACTACCCGCCTGCTCGTCCATGGCGGGGAGGCCCCGGGCGCCGACGATGGTCACTACCAGAGCCTTCTTGGGGAAGTTGTAGTCGACGGTGAGGCTGATGGAGCCCAGGCTGGGCTCGGGCTCGGGCTCTGAGGAGGCGGGGGTAAAGGGGGACGCCGTCTTACTGCTGGTCTGGCTGCTGCTGGCTGAGCTGCTGTCCAGGCAGCAGTAGTCAGCGCGGACCGGTAAAGCCCGCTCCAGCCGACCCTGGCCGTGGGCGGCGTCTGCGCCGGCGGGAGGGACCAGGTGACTCATCTGCAGCTGACCGGGGACATCCAGGATGTTGTTCTCAGCGTCCACAAGCACCATCCCCCTCCCGGCGGTGCCCGCCGCGGTGCAGCCTCGCTCTCCGTCACGGTCAGAACGGTCGGCACGCCGGATGCCGCGCACGATCCTTTTGCTGCTGCTGAGGGATTCTGGGTAAATGCTGATCCCCTTTAGCATGTGGATGAACTTGTAGGGCGGATCCTCCGAGTCATAGTAACGATCCCCGTGCAGCTTGTAGCGCCCGGAGATTCGGAGGTAACGGCGCTGACAGAAGGACCAGAGCAGCACCAGAACCACCACGACCAAAACCAGAACGCCAGCCCCCAGGAAGCCCGCCAGCACCGGAGACATGGCTGCGAGAGAGAGAGCGACAGTGGAGTGAGTCAGACACAACAGGCTGCTGTTCAGTCAACACACAAACACGCAGTTCATCCCAGCATGACACGATCTGTAACCCTGAAGTCTGCCGTCCACAGCAGGTCCAGGACTTTCAGAATAATCCCTCAAAGAAGTGCGTGAGTGAAAAAACCATCAGTGGGAGAACAAACTGCAGTTAGAACCAGGTTCTCTTATAAGGAGGACAAATAATTAAAAACACTAAACCGAGTAACCAAATATAACCGAACGCTTTGCCCAATCAACATCTGTTTGTGGGCGGAGCCAAGAGGACTTTTGAATATTGAGTAATCGGATACAAAGTAGTCGTCTTATTAATCAGCAACAAATTTTAAATGAACTGTTAATTTTTTCCATTTTAGAAATTGCAGTACTTTGAGCAGTTTACATAACACGTGCCAGCGTAACTCTCGTAGTGTGTTTATGTTTATTTTCTCAAGTGCAAAAATAATGAAATAATAAAAACAGTAATTAAATATAAAATGAGGACAGAAAATAGTCTTTATATTTTGGAAGGTGTATCACTGCCTCGTGTGTGAGTCCTTGTGTGTGTGAGATTTAAAGGAGCATGTGATGAGTGTGAGCATATCAGCGCTGTGTAAGACACATGTTGAGACGGTGTGGATGTTAATAATTAATGTTAATAATAATTCAGTGTTGCACTGACCCATTTGTGTTTTTACTTTATTTACTTGGATTTTATAGAAATGATCATCTGCAGCCTCGTGCCCCCCCACGCCCTCCTTTAGACTCTCCCCTGCTCGCTTCAGGTTCACTGACAGGAAGTGAGAAAGCTGCCGTCTGACTTCAGCTGCCCGATTTGAAGCTAAGTCAAGCTACATTAACAATTGGTCTGCAGACGCACACTTTTATTTTAACTTCTGTAGTTAGCTAGTTAGTTATTTGGTGAATCGCTGCAGTCCTCACAGAGACCGTCAGTGTTTCCCTTCCATATAATCCAAATCTAAGAGGTGGAGATATTCGAGCACTGGGACCACCAGATTGTAGCATCCTACAGCAGCTAGGGCAGCGCAGTCGGTGACAGCATATTTAAAACAGTAACACCAGAGTGAAGTCACCACATCAACTCTCCGAGGATCTCATTAGAAACATCTGAGGACGGGGCGGAGGAAGAGCAGAGAGGCGGGGTTTGTGGAGCTCTTTGTTTGCTGGGTATAAAAGAGTATTGTTGTGAGTCACACAAGGGAACACTGATGCTACGCACACACACACACACACAGTAGTTTTCCCAGAGAAACTGCACTGATGTACTGACTTGGTATTCACTGAGTGCTGGAGGAGAATTCTGTGTGCTTCCCGGCAGCTAAAGCAAAACGCAGCGAGCTGTGGCTTCAATATGTCGGTGATCAGGCCGGACGCAAAGCATCCACAGAGAGAGGACGCAGTTAGTAAATGTCCATCCCAGAAAACTAGTGCGAGAAAAACCTTTTCAATTGAGTCTCTGGGATTTTTGGAAAGCTGCAGGGAGCTCGTGTTTCTGCCACTTCACACACTGTTCTCTGAAAGTCCTCGTGTCCAGAATCTCTCCACCCCGGGTGGAGGATGCAAAGTTAGCAGAGCGTACTCCACCTCCCATTGGAAGGCTCTAAACACTTCCACACAGCCTGAAGCAGCCCTGTAGCGCTAGGCTGCCCTTGGCATTTCCACAGCAGCCAAAACATGAAAAACAACCTCAGTGAGTGAAATAAACACACAACCGCAGAACAAAAGCCAAAGAGAGGTGAAAAAACACACAAGAGCAGAACTGAGGTGAACTGCATCAAATCTAAGAAGCTTCATTAGTAAAATCTATTTACTGCAGCTTCACCAACATCTGCTATTGTATCTCAGCAGAGCTGCTCCAGAATGAATGACCTACTTTGTTTGGCTCCTATAGGCTTTAAATTTTGATGAGTAACCAATCAGATTCTTCTGCAGGCGGGACACTGCTGCTGGTGACAGAAACGGGCTGCGTCAGAACCACATCAGCGCGTTTCAGTCAGATTAAAGGAAACAACGCTAAATAAAATATGAATAAAACAATAAACTGCTCGTGTTGATGAAGTGAACTCTGTGATTGGTTACAGCTTCACGCAGTCTGTGTGTGAACAGTTCATCTGTGCCTGGTACACTGTGTCACATACTTAAAGCCTCCCTGTTTTCTCTTTGCTGTCAGTGTTTTGACTCATATGTAGGTCTGGCGTGTTTCTGCTGACGAGGTGAAAAACTGCGAGTTTTTACGGACACAGAGTCGCTGCTCCAAGTGTAAAAGCTGCAGAATCAAAGTCCAGAAAATCCTCCTTCCTGTTTGTTGTCGCTTTTCATTCAGACTCCATCAGATGATGTCATCTTCTGGAAAGAGCTGAAAGAGCTGAGCTCGCTGCCTGGCAACTCTGGGACACACACACACACATGTTGGGCATTCATATCTTGTGGGGACATCTAATTGACATAATGCTTTCCTGAGCCTCTTACCCCAAACGTAACCATAACCCCTCTGCAACCCTGACACTAAAACCACATTTTGAGTCTCAACAATGCCTTCAAACCTGTGGGGACCACGATTTTCGGTCCCTATAAGGGCTGTTGGTCCCCTAAAACTTCCAATTTTTGGTCCCCACAAAGATATGAATACACGCTCATGCTCACACACACACACTGAGGAGAAGCTCACAGTCTCTGATCTGCTCGGTTTATTCTCAGCAGTTTGAATCATCACTCAATGCGAGTTCTCTCAGAGTAACAGTTCTTCGGTAACGTCTGTTCTGACTTTTGTCTCTGACTGATTCCACTCGATTAAAGGAAAACGTGTCCAATAACTGTAATCCATCACATCCAGATATTTACTGACTGGAGGATACGACAGGAAGTCCGTGCTGCATGAGACGTATTCGTTCGTCTGATTGTGGAAAGAAACATAATCACAATTTTTCAGGTTTAATTGTGATTGTTTAACATATCGATTCACTTAAATGTAACGAACTTACTGAATATTCAAGCTGTGTCTGTACACTTGAACAATACAGATAATAAATAACACACTGGGAGTTTTTTGGCCCTGATGGACACAGAGCGGCGCCTGCAGGAAGTGGGAGCCACGGGGAAAGAGAAAGAGAGGAGCTCGAGTTAATTAACAACTAAGGGGCACCTGAGCTGTGCAGTGCTGAGCCCCCCTGCTGACAGCTACAGACAGCTGTCTGCACACAGCTTCTGTCTGGTCTGTGAGGCGCGTCGAGCTCGTTCTAGTTTGTGGGGAACACTGAAAATATCTCTTCATCTTTATTTTAAGGTTGGACGTGTAACTATATAATAATTTTACTGAACCCCCCCAATTTAAACTGACAATGAACAGAATTTAATGTCTAATATCAAACTCGTCAGTGGGATTCAGGCATGATTCAGACATTATGAAAAAATGCAGTAAAGTCCAAAATGTATGGATGCTAACTCTGCAAAGCCCTTCAGTGGGCCCAGTGACGCCTGTTGTTTGATTAATCTGGATTCATTCAATTTGCTGACTAAAGGTTCTCTCTGAGTCATCAGAGCTCAAATAAACTGGGGCTCACAATAAACTCTCACTCTGCAGGGAAGCAGAACAAACCATTCAAACGCACAGCTTTGTAGCTTTGCAGCTAAAACGAATGCAGAAGGTGATTGATCGTCTTTACTCTCAATCATTTGTTCACATAATCATCGGAAGCCACCATTTCTAATCAGCACCGTCCTGAGCTGATCAATAACCTCAGCTGATCGGTGTGTGGATCAACGAGCTCCTGAATAATACAGTGGATTGATTCAGAAGTCTTAACCTGTCATTTTAAAGCTCCCTCGTTCTGCTTATTTGCAGCTTCTGTCTGTGAAACCAGATCTTTACGACAGAACTTCCTGTCACATACTATACAAGCCACTTTACTAGGTACACCCTTTCAACTGCCTGGAATTGCAAATATGCAAATATGTCCTCAGCCAAACACGCAGGAGCGACTCAGGGACGCAGTCAAGACTCTTTGCTGTCCACCAGGCACCGCTCCCCTCAAGAACAGGAAGCCGAGGCTATGATCACACAGGCTCACCAAAACTGGACCACAGCAGATCGGCAAGCGTTGTGGTGAAATGAAAGGACTGATCCATCCTGACTCAATGGTTCAGCCTGGTGAGGTAGAGGTGTGGTTTGGTTGCACACTTTGGGCTCCTTAACGAAAAAGATCGTTAAAACCCCAAAGCTAACTGAGCACTGTTAGCTGACCTTGTGCATCTCCTCATTACTACCACAGTGGACCATCTGCCGATGGCAGCTTCCTGCAGTATAACAGACCTCAAACTGGTTTCTTTAACATGATGGTGACTCCACTGGGCTCAGGTGACGTCCACAGTCACAGATCTCAGTCCAGTCGAGCACCTCTGGGATGTGGTGAAGCTGGAGATTCTCATCGTGGACACTGCCGGCAAATCTGCAGCAGTTGTGTGATGATGTCATGTGATCATAGACCAGAATCTCTGCATAATGTTGAATGTGTGGCATGACGACGTAGAGCAGCTGTGAAGGTAAAAGGAGCCCAACCCAGTGCTCGCAAGGTGTACCTAATAAAGTGGCTGAGTGTCTTCTGGGTGGATGTTCAGGCTCACACAGACAGAGCTCTTCACTGGGTCCTTTAAACCAGCAAACAACAGAAATCTTTAATATAGATTTTTATCTAAAAATGTCAGAAAACTGGGAGCAGTTATAATTTCCCACAGAAACACCATCATCCAGTTTTATGATCCCACCACAACCAGCCAATCGATTAACTGCATTTATCAATATATATAACATGTGATGTAAGTCTGATCTTCAGCTGATTTGTATTAAAAGGCGCTTCGTCGGTGACGTAATCGTCGTTTACTTTATTTTCCTTTCGCTGAGCAGCTCCCACGCGACGATTAAACTGATTTAAAAGGTTTTTTCACTCGGAGAGCACAGACATGACGTCACCCATACACACCCCGACGGGCGCGCGCTCACGCACGCACGAGAGCGAGGCAGACCGTGCGTGGGAGCGCCGCGAGAACGCCCTGTTTTTCTCCCCCGCGCGGGCTGCTGTTATTTTTAATTTGTCACCGATGATGCAGAGGCACGCGCGAGGCCTCGTTTAAACCCCACGCACTTTTTTTCCGTGGCAGTGAAATGATGACTTAGAGGACGGCCATCTTTCCCCAACACATCCACTCAAACATGGCTGCGGTCACAAAATCACCGTGTGAGCTCATTTAACCGGCCTGCCAGCGGGCAGCGGTGACAGTCACGGGAAGATGACCCGCTCCACCCCTGAAGCATGAAAGGAAAGACTGGATGTGATGGGCTGTGCGGCCGCTTTATTCACCTGCTGCAGGCATCCGTTAAATATGTCACAGCATTTGACCCCAGTACACCCCACAGCCTAACACAGTGAGGCCATTTAAACACGGTGGATGTGGGTGAGATGGAAAAGATACGAAGACCAAAAGGGCCTGGATCTCACCGTAGGCGGGTCCCAGCTCGCTGATATCCGCCATTTTGTGGATCGGGGCAGGATGCGGTCCTGACCGAGCGGGGAGAAAGAGCGCACAGATGAGAGGACACCGACTGACTACCGCCCGCTTTTACTTCACATCCATAGAGGAGCGACGGCTGAGAAGAAAATCACCGAAAACAAGCCGCTGATCCGGGAAAGGAAGCCTTCATACATCGGCTGACGGAGGTGTCGTCCGCTCGCTGCGTCGGTCTCTGTGTCGGTGCGCAGTGATGCTCCCGTTAGGATGCAGGGAGTCTGCGCGGAGGAGCTCGCGATGAGGCTGGCCAAAGGTTGTCTAAAAACAAGATGACTCACTCAAAGCAGGATTCCTGCGCCCACGTGTCTCATTTATTTTTTTATTGTTGTGGAATCTTTATTTTTTAAAAGGACAAGGAAAAAAAAGTAAATTATAAAAGTACATATTATCTTTATTTTTCTTTTTACATATAAATATTAAATAATTAGAAATGTTTAAAATATATATAAATATAAGGAAAAGTACAGATCTTATAAATCTCATAAAACGTTTTTGCTTGCAAATAAGTTTGGCTGCATAATTTTGATGCAGTGTGTGAATGTAAATGTTTATGTTGAATATGTTTGGTGACTTTTTTACTTTTATTTTTGTAAAATCCTTGTTTGAAAAGAACTGAGAAACTTCTTAAATGAATTGTGTGCTGTGTTGCAGAGATGTCAACTAACCAGACCTTCTCGTCTTTTGTTCATTTATTGCTGACAGAACAGGGTTTCCACATTTTCTTCTTTCATAAAAAAATAATGACTAGCAAAGAAAATAAATTATAAAATTAAAAGAAAAACCACTGGAACAAAAAAGAAGCCAAATCTTCTCCTCAAAAACAAATAAAAAAGAAAATAATACGTGGTCAACTGAGGCGTTAAAAATGACAATAAAACTAATAGAAATAAGTTCTCACCTTCGCAATGGTCTCCGTCTCATTCACACAGATGAATTCTGTTTCCTTTCTACTGACTTTAATTTGTCTTGTCTCTAAGAGCAGACCTCCACCTCTCCAGGCTCTCCTCCACCTTCTCCCTGCTCTCACTGCAGATCACAGTGTCGTCTGCAAACATCACAGTCCACAGAAGCTCCAGCCTGACCTCATCTGTCAGCCTGCTGCAAACAAGAAGAACCCCTGTGTCAGTAATGTGAATTATAACAGTTCAGCTTAGCAGGAATGAACATTTTCAGGTCTAGTCAGACATAGTTTATTTATCTGAGATGTGAACTGTCTGACCTCTCAGATGAGCATAATAACAATAATGATAACAATAAATGGTAAATGATTCTTATACAGCACCTTTCTGCTCTCCTGGATTACTCAGAGAGATTTATACAACTGTTTTCAATTCAATTCAGTTTTATTAATAAAGCGCCAAATCACAACAACAGTCGCCTCAAG